TTTTTTTTTTTTTTTTTTTTTTTTTATCGATCCTCGACTCCCGATTTTCCCATCGTAGATCAACGCAGAATTAATCAGCTTCTTGCGAAACAGGTTCTCGCTCGTGACGCTTGCCTCCAGATCCCCGAACCGAACCGCGGCCTCTTTCTCGCGCCGCTGTTCTTTCCCTCTGTGTGCTCTCGTTCGAGGGGAATTAGATCAGCCGGGGACACGGAGATAATGTCGCGGTTGTGTTGCGATTCGAGTTGCCGGGTTTTCTTTTTTTTTTATTCGATAGGTTTACGAGGCAAGTAACTCCTTCGCGTAATTTCGAGATTGTTGCGTTTAGTCGAGATCAGGAATGATGTAACTCGTTTACTCGGAGATTTAAAATAACGAATTTGTGAGATATATGGAGTAGAAGGAATAGGAGGGGAAAGAATGAAAGTGTTATCGGGTAATTTCATTTTTCGAGATTGCTGAGGGGCAGAGAGAGAGAGAGAGAGAGAGAAAGAGACTTGCGTGAATCAGACATCCTGATAAATGTGGCTATTTACGGAAACCGTGGATACCGAAGATAGATATAATAACAAATGATCTCATTTCCACGTTTCGAGTGGAAACAAAAATTTGGAATAATCGGATTAAGGATACTAAATCATTTTCCAGCTTATCTAAATTGTTCCTGTGTATCTAATATCCCGAACAGCTTCCACCTTATCACTTTGGAGATAAACGCGAATCCACTCCTCTAGATTAAACGAAATAAAAACTTCGATTTATCAACTTGTTACTTCATCCATATTCCTATCTCTCCTTTTAACATTTTTCTTCTTTTTTTTTTTTACAGGTAATACCGGCAGAGCGACGTGGGCCAGAGAAAGAAGAGACCTGGACCCTGGCCCCGGACCAAAGCGGGGACGCGTGTTCGTTCTTCGACGACGTATCTGACGCGAAGCCTAAACCGATCCAAGATGTGGACAATCCGCAATCTCGGATCCTCGATCCTGGCGAGACCCAGCAAACCAACCAACAATTCCCCCAAGAGCATCCAGAGACCGGAACCTTGCCGCGTAGCCAGGAGACGAGGAAGAGCAAAACGAAAAAGGTGAAGAGTTACCTGAGGAAGTGCAAGGGCGCTCTCTCCAAAGGTGACGAGGCGTCCACGGAGAAGAAACGGCAGGAGCACTGTACCTCCTGGTACCTGGACGAGTCCCATCAAGAGGACCCCGACAACACCTTCCACCTTCAGAAACAATCGGAATTCCTGGATGAGAGGATCGCGGAGGAGGCCT